ACATCAGCAGGAGAGGACTCTTTAAAGTAGAGACACTACATACTGATATACACCTGAACATCAGCAGGAGAGGACTCTTTAAAGTAGAGACACTACATACTGATATACACCTGAACATCAGCAGGAGAGGACTCTTTAAAGTAGAGACACTACATACTGATATATACCTGAACATCAGCAGGAGAGGACTCTTTAAAGAAGAGACACTACATATTGATATACACCTGAACATCAGCAGGAGAGGACTCTTTAAAGTAGAGACACTACATACTGATATACACCTGAACATCAGCAGGAGAGGACTCTTTAAAGTAGAGACACTACATACTGATATACACCTGAACATCAGCAGGAGAGGACTCTTTAAAGTAGAGACACTACATACTGATATACACCTGAACATCAGCAGGAGAGGACTCTTTAAAGTAGAGACACTACATACTGATATACACCTGAACATCAGCAGGAGAGGACTCTTTAAAGTAGAGACACTACATACTGATATACACCTGAACATCAGCAGGAGAGGACTCTTTAAAGTAGAGACACTACATACTGATATATACCTGAACATCAGCAGGAGAGGACTCTTTAAAGTAGAGACACTACATATTGATATACACCTGAACATCAGCAGGAGAGGACTCTTTAAAGTAGAGACACTACATACTGATATACACCTGAACATCAGCAGGAGAGGACTCTTTAAAGTAGATTCACTACATACTGATATACACCTGAACATCAGCAGGAGAGGACTCTTTAAAGTAGAGACACTACATACTGATATACACCTGAACATCAGCAGGAGAGGACTCTTTAAAGTAGAGACACTACATACTGATATACACCTGAACATCAGCAGGAGAGGACTCTTTAAAGTAGAGACACTACATATTGATATACACCTGAACATCAGCAGGAGAGGACTCTTTAAAGTAGAGACACTACATACTGATATACACCTGAACATCAGCAGGAGAGGACTCTTTAAAGTAGAGACACTACATACTGATATACACCTGAACATCAGCAGGAGAGGACTCTTTAAAGTAGAGACACTACATACTGATACACACCTGAACATCAGCAGGAGAGGACTCTTTAAAGTAGAGACACTACATACTGATATACACCTGAACATCAGCAGGAGAGGACTCTTTAAAGTAGAGACACTACATCCTGATATACACCTGAACATCAGCAGGAGAGGACTCTTTAAGGGAGAGACACTACATACTGATATCCACCTGAACATCAGCAGGAGAGGACTCTTTAAAGTAGAGACACTACATACTGATATCCACCTGAACATCAGCAGGAGAGGACTCTTTAAAGTAGAGACACTACATACTGATATGAACCTGAACATCAGCAGGAGAGGACTCTTTAAAGTAGAGACACTACATACTGATATCCACCTGAACATCAGCAGGAGAGGACTCTTTAAAGTAGAGACACTACATACTGATATACACCTGAACATCAGCAGGAGAGGACTCTTTAAAGTAGAGACACTACATACTGATATACACCTGAACATCAGCAGGAGAGGACTCTTTAAAGTAGAGACACTGCATACTGATATACACCTGAACATCAGCAAGAGAGGACTCTTTAAAGTAGAGACACTGCATACTGATATACACCTGAACATCAGCAGGAGAGGACTCTTTAAAGTAGAGACACTACATACTGATATACACCTGAATATCAGCAGGAGAGGACTCTTTAAAGTAGAGACACTACATACTGATATGAACCTGAACATCAGCAGGAAAGGACTCTTTAAAGTAGAGACACTACATACTGATATACACCTGAACATCAGCAGGAGAGGACTCTTTAAAGTAGAGACACTACATACTGATATACAGCTGAACATCAGCAGGAGAGGACTCTTTAAAGTAGAGACACTACATACTGATATACACCTGAACATCAGCAGGAGAGGACTCTTTAAAGCAGAGACACTACATACTGATATACACCTGAACATCAGCAGGAGAGGACTCTTTAAAGTAGAGACACTACATACTGATATACACCTGAACATCAGCAGGAGAGGACTCTTTAAAGCAGAGACACTACATACTGATATACACCTGAACATCAGCAGGAGAGGACTCTTTAAAGTAGAGACACTACATACTGATCTACACCTGAACATCAGCAGGAGAGGACTCTTTAAAGTAGAGACACTACATACTGATATACACCTGAACATCAGCAGGAGAGGACTCTTTAAAGTAGAGACACTACATACTGATATACACCTGAACATCAGCAGGAGAGGACTCTTTAAAGTAGAGACACTACATACTGATATACACCTGAACATCAGCAGGAGAGGACTCTTTAAAGTAGAGTCACTACATACTGATATACACCTGAACATCAGCTGGAGAGGACTCTTTAAAGTAGAGACACTACATACTGATATGAACCTGAACATCAGCAGGAGAGGACTCTTTAAAGTAGAGACACTGCATACTGATATACACCTGAACATCAGCAGGAGAGGACTCTTTAAAGTAGAGACACTACATACTGATATACACCTGAATATCAGCAGGAGAGGACTCTTTAAAGTAGAGACACTACATACTGATATGAACCTGAACATCAGCAGGAGAGGACTCTTTAAAGTAGAGACAGTACATACTGATATACACCTGAACATCAGCAGGAGAGGACTCTTTAAAGTAGAGACACTACATACTGATATACAGCTGAACATCAGCAGGAGAGGACTCTTTAAAGTAGAGACACTACATACTGATATACACCTGAACATCAGCAGGAGAGGACTCTTTAAAGCAGAGACACTACATACTGATATACACCTGAACATCAGCAGGAGAGGACTCTTTAAAGTAGAGACACTACATACTGATATACACCTGAACATCAGCAGGAGAGGACTCTTTAAAGCAGAGACACTACATACTGATATACACCTGAACATCAGCAGGAGAGGACTCTTTAAAGTAGAGACACTACATACTGATCTACACCTGAACATCAGCAGGAGAGGACTCTTTAAAGTAGAGACACTACATACTGATATACACCTGAACATCAGCAGGAGAGGACTCTTTAAAGTAGAGACACTACATACTGATATACACCTGAACATCAGCAGGAGAGGACTCTTTAAAGTAGAGACACTACATACTGATATACACCTGAACATCAGCAGGAGAGGACTCTTTAAAGTAGAGTCACTACATACTGATATACACCTGAGCATCAGCAGGAGAGGACTCTTTAAAGTAGAGACACTACATACTGATATACACCTGAGCATCAGCAGGAGAGGACTCTTTAAAGTAGAGACACTACATACTGATATACACCTGAACATCAGCAGGAGAGGACTCTTTAAAGTAGAGACACTACATACTGATATGAACCTGAACATCAGCAGGAGAGGACTCTTTAAAGTAGAGACACTACATACTGATATGAACCTGAACATCAGCAGGAGAGGACTCTTTAAAGTAGAGACACTACATACTGATATACACCTGAACATCAGCAGGAGAGGACTCTTTAAAGTAGAGACACTACATACTGATATACACCTGAGCATCAGCAGGAGAGGACTCTTTAAAGTAGAGACACTACATACTGATATACACCTGAACATCAGCAGGAGAGGACTCTTTAAAGTAGAGACACTACATACTGATATGAACCTGAACATCAGCAGGAGAGGACTCTTTAAAGTAGAGACACTACATACTGATATGAACCTGAAGATGAACAAAACATGGCCTCTGTACACACTTGTTTTATGTTAAGACTGCAAGTAGGCGGTTTCACTGACCATCTGCTCAAATCCAGAGGAGAGATTTCAATACAAATGTGAAGGTAGTGTTCAAGTATTACTATATATTTGCCGTAATTAAGCTTTACACACGAGTATGGAGACCGAACCATAACTTGAAGAAGATTGGATGTTGGACTTACATTACACACTTGATCTGTTGTAAAGAAGAACGACTCCATGACTGATGGTGGTGCTTTGTGTCTGCTGGACGTTCACCATTACGACTTTAAAAGGCATTATTATGCAACACGTTGTTAATCTGCTCTTAATCTGGCAGAAATCATTAATCGGCTTGAAGTATGATGTTCAGACTGGTCTGCTCGAGTCTGTCATGTGGTGTGCCTCTGATTGACAGTCAGTAGAGATGGGACAGGAAGTGAGGCCGTAGAGAGAGATAGGAAGTGACTTGCATCGAGCTTCATGGTCAGCTTTTTACTCCACTTGCATAGACCTCCATCTTTGCTGTGTGTGTTTGTTATGTGATCTCACAAATGCATACACACGTTCCTGCAGGTGTGTGTGTGTGTGTGTGTGTGTGTGTGTGTGTGTGTGTGTGTGTGTGTGTGTGTGTGTGTGTGTGTGTGTGTGTGTGTGTGTGTGTGTGTGTGTGTGTGTGTGTGTGTGTGTGTGTGTGTGTGTGTGTGTGTGTGTGTGTGTGTGTGTGTGTGTGTGTGTGTGTGTGTGTGTGTGTGTGTGTGTGTGTGTGTGTGTGTGTGTGTGTGTGTGTGTGTGTGTGTGTGTGTGTGCGCGCGCAGTGTCCCTTTGGTCCGGGGGTTCAGGTGTTAATGTCCGCTGATGTGCCTAATTGCTCCTGAGGAGGGCTGGAGGATTTGGGGAGGGTAGGGAGGGAGGCGAGGCATTGATTTGGGCGTTTAGTGGGTAGAAAGATGATGGAAGAGGAAGAGGAGGAGGGTGGGTGGCGAGGAGAGAGGAGAGGAGAGAGGAAGACACAGCAGGAAGCAGAGTGGCTTCAGAGAGAGAGAATGAGGAGGCATTAATGACAGTGAAGTTGTAAGAAGACGAGAGCTTTACAGAATCACAATTCCTCCCTCTTTGACTTCCTCTCTCCCACATCCTGCTTCCATCCTCCTCTCCCCCTTTTTTCTTCCCCCCCCCTCCATCCATCCCTCTGTAACGCCGTCTCCTCTTCCCTCTCCTCCTCCAGCTGCAGTGCAGAGATCTCCGCCGAGGCCCCCGTCAGGCTGTCAGGTGACCGGGACGGAGGCTGTGACATCACCGCCCCCCCGTCCGACTGTCATCCCTCCGCGGTTGCCATGGCAACGTCGGCGACGGCCCGCGGAGCCGAGCCTGGCGACGAGACGCCTGCAGGAGGAGGAGGAAGAGGAAGAGAGGAAGCAGGAGAATGCGTAAGTGTTCTTTCCCATTTTGATATTTTGCCTCTTTAAAATGTGATTTCCGTGCATGTCTTTGCTCGCCGCTACCTTTCTGCAGAAACACACAGATCTATTGGTATTCAAGGAGGACTGGGACAAGCAAGGAGGACTGGGACAAGCAAGGGGACTGGTACAAGCAAGGGGACTGGGACAAGCAAGGGGACTGCGACACACACATGCACACTGCTCACACACACTGATGCAGAGGTATTTGTGGAGACGAGGTTGCAGCGCTGCGTCTTCCTGCAACAGCTCGACGTCTGAGGGTGCAGAGAGAGAGGATTACTCCTTCTCGTCCTCTCTGCAGCTCCACACCGGCTGCAGCTCGCTCTCCTCTCTGTGTCTGCAGAGCCGCGCTGACATGGAGTCGCATCTCGCTGTTTAGAGAACAGATGCCGAGGTGCGTTCGCTTCTTGCCTTTTTCAATGTTTCGGGCTTTTTAAATGGAGCCTGCCTCTGCATGCCCAAAGCAATGGCTGCCATTTGATCATTCAGAGCAACATGAATTATTCTCCTTCATTTTACCAGACTGCTGCTGCAAGCTGTAAATCCTGTTGCTCTCGGTGTGAGGGCGAGAAAAGCTTCCAGCGTCTTCCAGTCATGTTTCGCCGTTAGTAATCAGAGAACTATCAATATGTTGTTCTTTGATGTTAAGCCAATATGGTCAGATGCATCGGATTTGGGCGATGCCTCTGGGGTGAGGAAGCACGTGTCATAGAGATGACCTTTGAACTTTTAATCTTAGGTCGAATCTCAGGGGCTTGATGGACCGTCAAAGGATTTTCAAAGACACGTGAGGAGTGTGTGTCCGTGCGAGATGCTGCAGTGTGTCGGGGAATTCCTCGCTTCACCTAAAAACGAAAATCCAGGATGTGTTGCTGTCTCATCTTCAAGGCCGCGTAGTTTCTAGTTGTGATGAGAGCAGATTTCTAGTTGTGTGGACGTGTTGTGTTTAAAAACTTGGCAGACGATCAGCGCTGCATCTCGGCTTGAAATGTGGACTCCCGTCAGATAAGCTGGGATCAGAGCGGTAACCAACAACGTGTTATGTAATGTCTCATGACTGTGAATGCACAAGCTGTGATTTCTCTCTCCCCCTCGTCATTTTCACCTTTTTCTCCTCCTTTGAGTTGTGTCCTTCTTCATCTGTCGCTATAGCAACATGACCGTTTGATTGACACCCGTTTCCCCCCCCCCCCCCCCCCTTTTAGCACGCCGCTCTGGGCTGCAGGCGCTCCAGCTCGGACGCAGCCTATGAGCTGGCGGAGACGGTGAGGGCACAGCGAGAGTGTCGCCTCCGGCCGCACTACAGCGACCCCATGCCGGCCGACGCCTCCAAACGCAAACAGCTGGAGATGAAGATCGCTGCGGCCGCTCGACTCCACGGCCACCGGAGGGACCGAGACCGAGACAGGGACAGTGGTGAGTGCATGACACGTGTGGCAGCTGTCACTCTGTTATAGTCACAGTGTTTCTGGATGCATTACAGTGCATTATAATTACAGTTCAGCAGCGAATTATGACAGAAGCAAGTTTTACTCGACATCTAGAAGCATTGAGAGGTTACTAATCAAGGAGCATGACTAAAGGCCCCATAATGCCATTGTTGTTAGAAAAAACAGATGATGTATTTTTATTTGCATCTTGATTCAAAACTCAAA